GTGTATACGTGAGTTTTAATTTGTATTACTGTTTGCTGCTCACAGTAGCAGGGCAAGGAAAAAATACCACTGTTGATGTAGAAGTCTTAAAAACTCATGGATCTAATAGGATACACTTGGCATTGTAGGGTAAAAAAAAAAAAAGCTGTTGTGCTGACGTAATGTTGCCACCTGCAAGGTCGTCTTTCATAAAGTAACTTAAAAGTCTCTCTCAACCAGAATGAATCACATCAAACTTCAGACAGCACAGTTTGAAATGTATTAATGACCCAGCCTTCATCACTTCATCAATCTCTTCATCACACAAGCAGATAATAATTTTCTTTGTGTTTTCTTTAATGCATTTTGATCTTCTAATGGTTCGGTTGCTGAACTTGATTCTCCATCAGCACCTTTACTTTTCAGTATTAAGTTCTTTCCCAGCTAAAGACGAGATATAAGATGAGTTCAGGATTAAAAATAGATTAGAAATGGAAAGAACTTTTTTTTTGTTTTGTTTTTTAATTCCTCAGCTTTGTTGCATTTGTTCAGTTCCATCTTAAAATATAAATATTTCATGGAAATTTTTAACTAAATTACTAAAGAAAACAGCTAAAAATGCAGTTGTGGCTCTTTCACGTGTTAGGTGACTGTCTTAACCGCTACAATGTGCTAAAAAAGCTTAAATAGTTCAGTTAAAATTTTTATAATAAACAAGACTTCTCGTTTCCCACCTGCAGTACCTTTACGGTCCACCAGGAGGTTGCAGCCCACACTTTACGAAACAAAACACACATATATATGTAGTTTTTGTAATATAACCTCCTGAAGGGAAAGATTATTGGAATGAAAGGTATTTTACCTTCTGTGGGTCACAATTTTATTAATATTTTAAACTAACAGGTTTATATATTGACTTGGCGTCTTTGGTCTACAGCAGTTTCATAGACTGTACATAAAAGATGGACATCCATTGGCTTGTGATGTCCATTTGAGTGTTTTGATCATAACCATCTAACCTTGATGGGTGAAACTTGGATCACAGCATTTCAACAAAGCATACTCCGCTTTATTGGTTAAATGAGAAGATTTTACTGGAAGAAAATCATTCTGTATTAAGGAAAATTTAATGAGCAACAAAGACTTAATAAAAACCTGTTTAAGGTTTTAAGATTATTTCTTCAGGTCAAGTGACCAGTCAGGTCATTTCCTCATACTTATTTTTGCAGCTAAAAAAGTCGCCCCCTGCTGGCCGTTTGAAAGAATGCAAGTTCAAGCTCCACTTTTGCATTTTTCAGATACAGCCGCTAGACCCATCTGTGATCTGTATTTTCTGTGGTCTTCCAGGTTAATTGCCTCTGGCTCATTTTCCCCTTTGGTGGGGTTAATTTGTGGGGATATGACCTCAGAACCTGTTCCAAGATAACAACAAAGCGCTTCCAGGTTTAGGTCCTAGACTTTGGCGTTCAGTAATGCATTTTGGTTCAGTTTGAATTCTATGTGAAAACTGAACAAGCCAAGGGGGGAATGCAACAAGTGTGCCATCAGTTGCTGATTCAAATCAGGAGAAAACAGTCAGTGCACAATTTTTGGTGTTTAAATCCAACTGAAATGAGTTTAGTTGTCTTTAGTCTGGCTATATTATATAGCATTTTAACTGTCATTAATGTTACTGTCATCAGTTTTAATACTGAGTTTGGGTCTAAGATGGAGTATGAGAAGAAAAAGAAGACTGAAGGGAAGATGGTGAGAGCTGAACGTCAGCTCGTGTTGGACATGCTCTTCTCGGCCTTCGAGAAGCACCAGTATTACAACATTAAGGCGCTGGTGGACATCACCAAACAACCTGTGGTGAGCAGCGTGCACGTACACAAACCCATGTGAAACAGGCAACATGTACACACACTCAAACATGCACACATGCAACAGCATCACTGTAAAAAGCATAAAAAAAACCCAATACACCTGCCCACTATCCACCTTGCTTTGTTAAATTTGAACAAATCGCCCACGGTGTGACGTTCATGCCTGTTCACACTATCTGTTGTGGCTGAAATTTGGGCCAACGTGTGCACACGCACACATGGCATGAATCGATACAGTGCAGTGGATTCGTTCCAGCTCGCAGTGAACAGAAATGTGTAGGTGCTGATGAGACCTTTAGGTCCTCCTCTCCCTCTGATTGCATCTGATTGCATAACCAGTGGCTGAGTAGGAGTCAAACGCCCCAATACACTCCACACCATCATTTCTCTCCTAAAGCACTTGGCTAGCACTCAAATTAACTGAACTAAAGTAACCGAAATGCCCATTATGAAAAGTCTTGAAGCACATTACGGTTATTCATCAGTTGGCGGCCGCGTCTTTACAAGCTCAACAGAGACACCTGCTGGTCATTGCAGAGGATTGTCTGATCTACCAAAGAGTAGCCCCTGCTTGCGAGTTCATGCCTGCTGATTAAACCAAAAGTCAATGTTAGCGCATGATTTAAAGTAAGAAGAAACAGCTTTTTGGCCACTTGTTTCAAATAATGAGTCCGTGCATGTACTTGTTTGATATGATCCTTAAATAAGTTTGTTACAATTGCAACAGTATGCTACAGGTGCTTTTGAAAAAAGAAATAAGGAAAAGCATATCAGGTCCACTCTAACCCTCTGACAGCTAAACCAGGGTTGTTGTTGTGCCTAAAGGGGAATATTTGCTCACTGCACTTGTCTTTGTAGCTGGTGGATGATTATTAGGGTTATCCAGTTGCCTAGGCAACCTACTACCGTATTTGCCACCCTGTCACATGTCAATCAGTGGCAGTTTTCCTGAAGACACTTCAGTCGCTTACCTCGAAGTTCAGAAAAGTTTAACTCGGGACCCACAAACTGCCGCTATTTCTGTTCTGTTGTCAGTTGAAGTTGCTGATGCCATCGACTTTTTGTGGTTTCTAGTTTCTGCTGTTTGCTTCCTGCGTGAACGCCCCTGAACCAAGAAATGGATTATACCTAACCTTAGACTAACTACTTCTACCAGTGGAGCTCTTTTTAGTACTCTGGGAATATACTTGATCCATAACTGAGGGGAAAAAAAGGACACCAGAAGCCAGAAATCTCATATTCTTATAGCATAGAGTGATTGTGGAAACAGATCAGTGATTTATTAGACCCCACAATATTTCCCCTGTGGATCTCAGGGGAAATTTTCTAAACAGTGGTCACCACCATAGCGGCTCGAGTCCATCATGAGGAGATCAAGAGACACGCTCCCTCTCATATGCGCTGGGTTTCCTCACAGTACAACAGCTCACCTGTGAGGGGCCATAGACACGTGTCTAAATCGCCTGAGCTGGCTTCTTTGGGTGCGAAGGAGTTGTGGCTCTTCTCTGAGCCATTTGTGAGCTCCACACCCCTGTATGTGGGACGGCCCTCCTGTGGAACCACAACATGCAGGAAGCGGCACGTGGATTTGGAGTATTGTGGATCAGGCAGCAGACAAAGGCAGGGGAGTCAATCACCAGCTCCCAGTAGTATCATATACTAATAACTGGTACTTAAAGATAAATATGAGGCCAGTACCGGTTTAGCAACTGGTTTAGAACAAGCACAGGAGAAAGTGGGTGTGAACTGAAAAATGAAGGCATACTTTTGTCTTTGTGTGGGTTAAAGTAACAAGGTGCAAATGTTTGCTCTTTGTGCTCAGTTAGTTACAAATTGTCCACAAAATCATGCAACACATCTGTTTAAATGCACCATGTTTCAAGCTGCGTCTTGTGTCTGGCACAGACCTACCTGAAAGAAATCATGAGGGAAATCGGCACATACAACAGCAAAGGCGTTCACAAAAGCACCTGGGAACTGAAGCCGGAGTACCGACACTACCAATCTGACGAGGAGGAGATGCAGACCACCTAGGCCGAGCCAGAGTCCTCTGAAGTATCTTCTGGGCCTCAAATTTGCAACAAATTTGTTTTGTTTTTTCCAGTAATTTTGTTTTATGTTGACAGAATTATGGGGAGAAAAAGCTTTGGGTGCACTCAAACATAACTAATATGGCACGATGGTGTAAAATCATTATTTTTGTGGTAGGATAAATTTTTGTGTGTATTCCAAGAAAGAAATAAACGTCCTCTGCTGAGGAAAACAAAGATTAAGGGGCAAACTGGCTCGAAACTTCTAGTAATGCTGCCTCTTTCTAGGAGTGTTACTATGGCAACTATGAACAGCCTTAAACTATGGTTACAATGAATCACACCAGCTGCTGCTGCTGGTCTGACTGCACCCCAGCTATTAAATGTGTGTCAGCGGGTCTCATTCCCATTAGTTTCGAGTGAGATCAGTAGTGAGCACAACTTTCTTTTTTCCTTTTTTTTAAAGCCATGCAATTTGGTTTTTGTAATTAACAAAAGTATTAACTCTTCTGTAACCAGCTTATTTTTTTCAAAATGTGATCTCATCTTCACACAAGTCACAAGTATAGACAAACACACTGTCTATAATAGAATTGTCTTTTACTTTTACCTCTTTTATTTTCCCCCACCAGCACAGTGCAAAGCAGTTCTGCTTTGGTTGCTTTTGAGAAGTAGCCCACATTTCAAAAGGTTTGAGACCCTTTGAAAATGCCACATAACAGCAGTTGGGGTAACATCCATGGGGAAGAAGGAAAAAAAAACACGTGTTTGCGAATCCTTTGTGGATTTCTTCTGATAACCTCTCTCTTAGCTCTCAGCCTGGCAGTTTTGTGGTACCATGACAGTGCCAACTCTACATTAAGAGCTGCTAGTGTGTTGGTGTAGAAGAGTAGAGAAGAGCTAAGTTACAGTCCTGAGCCCAGACACCCGTCAGAGAGAACAGACTTCCCCTGCTTATACCCTCAGTCTCCTTTAATTCACTGCCCACAGCTTGTGGGTGAGGATAGGAATGAAGATGTACAAGTCAATTAACAGCTCTGCTTTCACACTTACTGCATCATCAAAAACAAAAACATGGGTGCAGTTTGTTTTAGAAATGAAGCCTATGTATTAGTCTTAAATATGCATTCTGTATGAAGGCCACTAGATGGTGATAGCTGTGATTGCAGACATTACAAATCCTATAGAAGTCTACAGGAAAACAACCTTTTCTTGTCAAACCTTGCAACAAGTGTCTGTTTATTTTAAGGTTATCTAGTTGAGACTAAAGACCACCTTAGATAAACTAACAAATACATTTGATGTCTGTGCTGTCCTAACGACCAGTTGGCTACACACGTTTCTTTGTACTGCAGTCCTTGAGCAGTGGATTAAACTGCAGATCACTAGGCTGCTCTGAATCACTACTGTAAAACTATGGACGATCAAAATGAATTAAGTCATTAATAAAATTGGAAATTATGTATTGAAATTAGAAATTTTATTACTAACATTTAATGTCACTAATTTTGGCACTTGATGCCCTCCATATCACCTTCACACATTTAACACCAATCTCATCAGCAACTTCATTCAGTAAATTGCATTCATCATACACCTGACCTTGGGTCAACAGCCGCAAGCACTTTAGTTCACTCCTGAACAACCTCTGTACTACCAGCTCTAGTCACCCTAATTTCTGTTTATTCATTACTTTGTATGGCAACATTTTTCCTTGAATTTCGCTTTTATACATGAAACTTACACATTACATTGCCAGCAGCTACTGGCCGTGACTGTTCTGCACTTCACAAATATCTGAGAATCAAAAAGGTGAAAGAGAAAACCCAAGGACAACTGCACATGAGATCAGTTTGTCAACGCTACAAAAGCATCTTTTCAAGCAATTCAAAAAGGATATTCTGAAATCCAACCTACAAACTGCCTGTTTGCAGCACCAGAAGTGAAGGTTGACACAGAAATGAAATGGAAAGTTGTGGTACTCGTTTTTATTCATTTTCAAATTAAACCATAAGTCTTTTTTTGTAGATGGAATCTTATTTAATGCAACCACAAACCCAAACTCAAAGGGGTCTGGTGATGCCAACCTGTATGGATTGTTGCTAAAACAGTATGCAGACAGAAGGAAAACAAACGTCTTCTTTCAGCCAGTCAGAGCTTTGCTCGCTGTCCAAGCCTTTTTGTTTCAATCACAAAAACTGGGCCAATCCTGGGACAAAAATCAAACACTGCAAAAGCCAAAAAAGAAAAGGTTAAAAACTGTATTTGGTGACTAATCATGTTTGATTCACCCCCCAGGTTTGGGAGCGGTTCTGTGGGCCGTAATGTGAATATTTAAGAAATTGGACAATGTTTCTGTTCAGGCATGATGCAAGGTAGTGCTCCTCCAGTCTGCTTTGTAGGCCATTTTGGAAGCAGCAGTCAGGTGAACAGCAGATGTAATTCCAGGTAGTTACTGTTTGAAAGAGAGAGGAACAGTGTGTGGTTATTAAATTTAACTATCTACACCCAAGTGGACAGCAGGCATGATTTTACAAACACGGAACATTCATTTAGAAATCCAGACTGAATTAGTGCGTGTACTGTGACATACGGATGTTCTCCAGCAGAAACACTTTGTAGTTTGAGAAATGTATCAAGTCTTTCCCACTTCATAGCACTTACGCATTTTTCGATCTCCAGGCCATCTTTGAAGAAAAGCATGAATGGTGTGATGCCATCCTCACGGTAGTCCAGCAGACCAACCATGCCCTCTGGGTTCATGGACTCTCCTGTGAAAAACTGCAAGCAAACAGCAACCATTAGACCTTCCTCTCAGTCGTACAGAAAATCTTTAATTAAAAAAGAAGTTTGGATTACAAAGATTTGCAACTCTTAAACCCATAATTTATTCACAGCAGAACACAAAATGCCACATTTTTTAAAACTAATAAAATCTAATTTCAAATTTGGCAGCTTTGCTTGAATTTGATGGCAGGGGAAAGTCTCCCCGTCACCCCCGTTTCATTAACAAGCTTCGGGATGCTGGCTGTCAGCCACAGAACATGCCAAAGAACTGACATGTTTATTTCAAACAAGCAAGCTGGTTAAACTTGTCTTTTTGACACTACTTAACAGCAGCACCCAGTCTAGATGTCAAGTATTCAAACTACGTTATCACACAGTCTATAAAGCTACAAACTGACAAATGATAGAGGCAAATCCACCTCCAGGATGGATTAGCAATCCATTAGCAATTGATGATGACTCCCAAAAGAAAAACCTGTCAGCTGAGATTCTCCATACACTGAATTCTCCTGGTGCCAACATGGTTATTGCCAGTTTTCAGAGCTTCAGCTGCATGATTTAACTCAAGTGTTGTATAGACACACACTCAAAGTGACATGCAGGCCTTCCTACAAGACTTGAAAATGTCACTCAAACTCCACCCATTGTCTACACTCCTCACCCTTCCCGTTGGCTTTTAAGGGTTTCCAAAAATATTGTAGTTACTGTATTCGCAAGGCAAGACTTTATATTTAGTGTGAACACGGTTTAAAATGCCATTTCATCTCTGTATAGCTACCTGGTAGTTCTTGATGTTCCCCAAGATTTTCTTGACTTCTGGTTGGATGTCAGCCATAAAGCTCTCCACTCTATCTGGTTTGGTCTCTTGCAGCTTGGCTTTAACACTAGACATGCAAACAGACACGTTCATTTAACAGAGCCGAAGATCATTCAAAACCAGAACTCCTTCTCACTGGCACATCAAGCTACTCACGCCTTCACATAATCCTTAATGTAAGTCATGTACTGCTTCTTGTCAAAGCCCGTCTCCTGCAGTTTGTGGTTCAGGACGATGTCGACACCGGAGATTGTGGAAGACTCGTTGCCCTCGGTTGCTTCCTCGGCAGAAGCGTTGGCTGCAATTAGAGAATCATCAAACCCTTCTGTCCTGGTGACGGTCTGTAGTTGAGGAGAGGAAGAAAAAAAGAAAAAACAATTATTACTGGTGCATCATAGCAAGGGCAATAGTAAATGATTGGGAAATACCAATAGATCAGTTGGCCTCCAATTCAGTATTTTTGAGCCATTTAAAAATGTATAACTAACAAGAACAGCCGGCTGACTTAAATGTTGTAGCCCGCAACAGTTTCCCAACCTCTTCGAATCACGTCTTTTTGTTTAAACCTAAAAATGTTACTTTTTTTTTATTAACTTAAAAACAAAGCTTTAAGTATTTGCCTGGTAACTACTTCACCAAGTTTCTTTGACTAATTTTAAAGTATGCATAAAGACAAACACCAAGCTAACATGATACTTCAAACTGCTCTAGCATTAAATTTTTTTTGTCTGATTCTGAGGCAGGTTAAGGACCTTGTAGTTACGCTATTGGAGACCTGCAACTATGAGTCATCTTCAGTCATAGTCAATATGACGTCATGGAAGTACAGCCAGAAATCACATGACTCACTCCAAAAAACATCTACCAATCTACTTTAAACATAGGTAGTGGCCCATCCCGAATAATAATACCAAAGCTGTAAGAGAAATTACAAAACTGGGGAATAACTTTAAAAAGAGCGTACGCTTTATTTGTTAATTACCATATGATCGTGTCCCGGTGTTTTAGATGCAAGCTCAGCCAAGATAGAAACAAATAAAATGCTAGTACCTTTATTTTTTCCCCCACCCCCCTTTGTGGTCAGCTTTCCCCACCCCCATTTTCTCTCTTTGGGTGTGTGTGTTGGTATTTGTCCCTCAAATTCCAATTGCTTTGTACATATATCCATTCCAATAGTTTCAGCAGTCTCCTTCCAGTAATTAGCTGTTTCTATGTTACATTAATACGATGATTATTATTCCTTAGATTGAGATAATGATGGCTACTCTCTCCATAATGAACTCAAAAACTGGTTAAAAAGTAGCCAGAAGCCACTCACAGAAGGAATGGACAATACTGAAAAGGCCAACACAGCAGTCTTGGGCTGTATTGATCTAATGTGTTGTTACATTTCTAGTGAGGTCTGCGTCAGATAACGGTGTAATTTCCCACCAAAGCATAAATCCCTAATAAGGGAGCAGCTTAAAGCAGCTACTTATTCTCTGAGGTTTTATTAAAACAACTTAGTTTTGGGTGTATCCCAACTACACTTTAAATTTCGCTGCAAAGCAGCAATGAACAAGCTGTTGGAAAAGGGTGAAACTGGCTAAATACTCTGTTGAACATGTGGTTTCGAACTCACCTTTCCTTCAAC